TTCTGCCTCTCTCTCTCTCTCTCTCTCTCTCTCTCTCTCTCTCTCTCTCTCTCTCTCTCTCTCTGATCTCTTTATAGTCTTCTTTCTCTCATTCATTCCTCCGCCTTACAGACCACTAAACACCGAGTACACATTTTATTCGACTCAAGTTCGTTTATTTGTTTCGGCGCATCTATATGCGGTGTCGTGGCCAACTATTCTCGGAGTGAAAGCAGTTCCTCGCTGCACTTACCACAGCCTGGCATCGCATCGCATCGCATCGCAACGTGTGTCGCATCGCGCGTGAACGCGTAGATACAATTATGCGCGTTCGCAACTTGTTACGATGAATTACATATAGCTCGGACAACCGGTGTCTCGCGGAGCAGATACATTTCAATGTTAGGTACGCGCGTCTAGAAAGATCATCTCACGGCGAATCGGCGCGTTGAGAACGGAAGTTTTACGTTAAAACAATACGGAGGGCGAGGGACAAACTGGCGACGGTTTTCCGACGGCTTGACGGAACGAAGCTTTTATCGAAAAATGGGATACGTTCACCGAGGTATACTCTCGCCTAAAACGACTACTTTAAATGAGCACGATGTTTGCACTGGAAGATAGCTCCTCGACCTCGATGTCGGTCCTACCCTTTTCGAGCTAGCATATAGCCTTAGCTTAAAAAACAGCGGCCACCCCGTCTACGATTCGATCGGTCCTCGCAATCCCTTAGTTTTCGGCCGACAGAGAGATTCATTTTTCTCGAATCTACGGGATGTTTTCTGTACCTAATCCACGAGAGAACGAAACAGCGTTCGCGAATAGGTGTCTCTGGATGGAGTTTTCTTGGAAAATGGTCGAAAGCACAGCATATCGTGGCTCGAATCAATGCTTCGAATCGAGCAAGGCAGTAAGGACATTATATATATATATATATATATATATTTAATTGTAAATACATAATATAATCCCCACTTGAGATGTGTCCCAAAGCGGCTCGTTCGTTCAACAACGCGTTATACCTACATGTATGCATGCATGTATGTATACTTGTCCGTCGTGTCGCTCGATTCCGAGATTCCATTCTGAGGACAAACTCGTTCGCACGAATGCCGCAAAAAAACAGGGATATGCGAGCGCGCCGTCGTTTCTTTTCACGAAACACACGTGTCCGACACGTGTTCAGAATCGTACAGTCTCGAACAATGGTTGAAAATTAATGTTGGTTGTTGATTTCTCAACTAATTCGGAGACTAACCTAGCCAGACAAATATTCTGCGAAGGATGCGATGCGATGCGATGCGATGCGATACGACGTGACATTCGTGGGAGAAAAAGCGAAATTACGAATGGTAACAGCCTACTCGTGGTGTAGAGTGCACGCGACAGCGTACAACATGAGGATTGCGCTACGCTCGAGTTTCTGTCCACTTGAGCGTATATTGAAATTGAAAGCGTACAGAAACCTTCATTTTCCTCATTCACAAAGATGTCGAGCGACGAAGAGGACGTTATTATCGCTTTGTATAATTATATTCAACGGCGTAAAAGTTGGAAAAGATATTGGTTACATGTGAAGCGTCTATGACGAGACAGTTTAGTGGACAGTAGGCCTTAGTTTCCATTTTGCCAACAACCGTGGGAACATGGTGTGTACGTATCGAAAACCGATGGCGACTGTTCGAGAAGCTATACACGAGTACTTTGCCGATGGAAATGACTCCTCTCTAGATTCGTTTTCCGTTTAGCGACGGCGACGCGACGACACCGTCACGTTTCTTGTCGTTTTTCGTCGCGCTGAAAAGGTTACCGGGTGTACCGCGGAAGAGTCGAGTATATCGCGGCTACCTACCGTGTTCTCGTTTAAACCGTGATCTTGCGTTCCCGAGGACCTATTCGCCTGCAGCAACGCTTCCAGACCTTCTATATACTCGATCGCGTTTCGTAGAATCTCCACTTTTGGTAGCCGTTGGTTCGGATTGTTGCTTGTTCTTCTCTTTAATACTTCGAACGCTTCGTTCACCTGTAATCACATGGTAACGTGTTTGTTAAGTAGGTACTGTTGATCCGGTGCGGCGGAGTAACGAGAAAACGCGACGGAAATGATTGGAAGGGTAACCGAGAGCAGATTGAAGAAGTCGTTGCTGCATACTAACCTTCCTCAAACGCCTTCTTTCCCGAAGTGTCGCAGCTTTTCTACGGTCCACGGTTACGGTTTTCTTTTTGCAAGCTTTGCAAGCCCAAAGAAGGCATCTGCGTGGCCCGTGAGCCGAGGCAGAAACGTCCAACGCGGCGTGCGGATGAGGCACGTGTTCGCTCTCGTTCGGTTCGTTGGACTCTTTCTGTTCGTTCGAATCGTTGGCTTCGTTGCTTTCCTCCGCCTCGATCGAAACCGATTCGAGGTCGGCCGAAGCGTCCGCCGATACGATCGACGACGCGTCGTCCGAATCGAAACGGTACGACGACGAGTGCGACCTGTAGAACCGTGAACATCGAGTTTCTCAATCTCATTCCGCTCTAATCAGTTTCCGTTGCGCACCGCGAATAATGTTGTGTTTGTCGGAACGTAATTACCGAATCGCGTACCACCCCCGAACGACGGTCTATCTTGTATACATATACGTATAGGATCGAGTGTACGCGCGAACGGCGGCCGCGAGAAAACGGTGGAAACATAAGCTAAACTGACGCTGACGATTTTATAGAGAAAACACGAGACAGGAATGAGGAGAAGTTTCGTGGACCAGTGAGAGTGTTCGAATCGAGCCCGACGCGACGCGAGCGGGACGGTCGAGTTTGTCCGATTGGAATCGTTCCAGGTGGTCGGAAGAACACGAGGGCCTCCCGTATATGTACCTTGATCGGTGTGACGAGAGACACGAGATGGTCGACATCGTTAAAAGGAATACCACAGATACGAGGCGAAAATGGCTTAATGCGCGCGATAAATCCATCCGGCTGTTTTCCTACGAAACGACGATAGTCGGTAACGCGATTTTCAATTACACCGTGATTTTCGTTGTCCCGACAAACGGGGAACGGGGGAGTAAGGGTCGTTTTCAAGCTTCGGACAACTAGGTACATATATGTACGTATCGTCCGCGAATCGAAAATGCCCGTAGAGAGCAGTTGCTTTTCGACTCTTTCTTATCGTCGATAATGTCGGCGCGGTAACGAATACGCGGGAAAATGTAGGAGAATGCGAATGAAGAATCTTACTCGAAACGGTGCTCGTACCGACAACGCTGCGAACTCGTTGACTCTAATGTCGACTCTAACGTCGAGGGGTTCTCAGCCGTTTCGACGACAGTTTTTCCTTCTTCGTCCACGTTTCGCTCGGGAAAGTATCCTTGCAGGTAGTCGATCGTTGGATTCTCGTCGGAGGCGTACAACATGCGTCGACGCCGATGATGATGATGATGATGGTGGTGGTGGTGGTGGTGGTGGTAACGATGATTATGTCGATGGAGGTGAAAACGATGGTGATAGTGGTGACCGTGAGCAGAGTGATGTCGAAGCTGCAGCTGATGATGTCGAAAAGCTTCGTAAGACGTTCTACCGGTCGCTTGACACGCGTAAGACACCGCGTCCGTTACCAGCGTCATTTCGAAATCTCCGGTTTTTCGTAGCTGGAACCTTTCTTCTCGCGACTTTTCTCTCGCGAATCCAATAACAACGTCGACCGCGAATTTCCTCCGAATATACTCTCTTCGATTGGTACGATCCGATTCACGATACACGATTCGAACGGTTTCGATTGTCATACCGATCGGAACATTGCGTCCCGCGCATCGCGCATCGCGGAATCGATCGATCGATCGATCGATCCGCCGAGCGTGAAATCGATCGTTAAACTTTGCAACGACACCAACGAACGGCGGAGAAGAGCGATCAAGACGATTCGCGGTGACGCATTCGATAATACCCGAATGTTTCTCTACCGAACGATCGTATGTAAAACGCAATCTAAATAGAGGCCCGAATGAAATTCTCCGTGCCGTGGACCGGGAGCGATGACTCGGGAAAGATTGAAGTAGTAGCGGGCTTTCGGGGAAGCAGCAACGCGTGGTCCCGAGTCCGGATGCGTGCGCGCGAGTACAACCCGCAAGCTCGTACGCGCTCGTAAACGCTCGTAAACGCTCGTAGCCGATCGTAGGAACACACGCTCGCCGCGCCGGCTCGCCCTCGCCCTCGCCCTCGCCCGGCCACGCTCGCCGCTACCGAGTCCCTCGTTCGCTGAAACGCACGCGTAGTCGACGCAGCCCGCGTCCACGCCGTTCGAACAGTTTACGAGAAACGTTTAGCGGCCGGTTACACCCAGTCGGATTATTTTCGACGAGAAACCGGCCAATAAGGACACATCGAAGTCCTCTTGGACCCGTCGTCGTTCCGCCTCCTCACTTTCTTAGCCCGACCTAGTGGCTGGCAAAATCTCGTTACGGGGTGTGGTTTAATCTTTTTCAAGATTCTCCGCGAGAGGTTTCGCATCGTCGATGAACGTCTTCGCATTCTGTCGTGGCAGAGGCACGAGCAAACCGAGCAGTACTTACGGCAGTACGTTCACGGTGGATCGTCGAAGTCGAAGGGAACGCGGGAGCATGAGACGTGTCTTTTCAACCTTCGAAAAGCCTTTCGAACCTTTGTTTCGCCTTGAACGAGAAACGGTGGTTGAGTTGGAAACTCGACTCGGTCGAGTAATACACGATTCGTGGGGTGAAACGAAACTGATTGATAACAGAATATACATATATATATATACACGTTACGTACCGTATGTATCAGATAGATAGAAAAATGAGAAAAGGGGGGGGGGGGGGGGGGAAAGGGGGGTTCCTCTATCGATAACGATCGGTGACCCTGCCAAGACCAAGGAAAGTCTGCCCACGCGACATTTTCGTGCGGTGCGCGCACCATCGCCGATCGTGAATGAAAAAATTCGGTAATCGGCGGTAAATTTGTAAATGCGCATCGCCTGAAAATACGTTGATACGAGAGGGGTTGCGAACGCGCAGGGGTTGCGCTGTATTACACCCCCGCTAGCGGCGGCGCGGCGCGGCGGCACGGTCCTCGTGAAATCTCGGAACGGCTCGGAGCCGATCGTGTTGCAAACGAGGAAGGAGAATCGCGCAAGACGAACGGTCTGGATTCGAGAAGCGAGACGAAAAACGGGTCACGCTCTCTCCTCCTTTCAGGATTCGGTCGCGGCTGGGACACCTACATCCGCCAAAGCTGTAAATTCACGAAAGGGCAATGCCTCGCCCATTTTTCTATAGGCAACGATGACGTTGGACCACTCGCGATCGACCCCTCGTTCTCGATACGCGCAATTTCCTAGATTTTTCGAACCGATCGACTCCGATTCCTTCCATCGTGCGCGAACGCCGATCCCTTTTTCTTTTCGGACGGCCGATCGATTTCAGCTTGAGAGACAGTCGTTATCGTTTCTTTGACGATACTAAGGAATTAAGAACCCTGTAACGCGGGCAATTCACAGGAAGAGGAATAACCGATATGTCCGGCAACGGAAGAGAGAATTGGATCGGAATTGCTGGCTGCTCGGGGTCAGGGGAAGCAGGGGTAGCGCAGCAGATACGCGAAAGGATGAGTGTCGCCGCCGAATACGGAAGATACGTGCGCGCGCTCACTCTCTCTCTCTCTTTCTCTTCCCCCCTACCTCTTCCACCCTGTTCAACCCTCCGCTGCCGTTGCTGTCTTTCTCTCTCGCACCGCCACCCCTCGAGGGTGAAGAGGAGGTTAGAGGAGAATAGCAATGATCGGTGGAAAGCATAGCAGCGAGGGAGAGGCGGCGAGAAGCAAGGTGAAATGTGGCGGGGCTGAGCACTAGGGGGAGTGGAGAAAAGCGAGAGCATAGAACAGGCTAGGCAAGGAGGGATAAGCAGCAGGAGGAGCGGAGAGCGGTGGCAAGTAGAGGAGAGGAGAGAGAATCGGTCGGGTCGTGTGTTGCGGGCTGCTGCTGCTGCGGCTCGGGCCTCGGGCGCGACAGTTCTACCCCAACCATTGCCGGTTCACTTTCGAGAGTAACCCGAACGAACGCGGTAGTACAGAGACTAACCCTTCCGCGCCAATCGCCGCCGCGGTTCATCGCGTTCAACTTGGTTCGTGAACGGGTTTCATTCTGTTCGCGGTTGCATGCGCTGAAAAACGCATGTTGCTCCGGTTAGGAGAACGCGACGCGGACGCGGACGGACAGACAGCTGGAGCGTTGGCCAGAAGGCGAGAAGAGACACTGGAAAGAACGCGAAGAAGACGATTGTTCAGCGGCGACGAGGCAACGGTCCACTTGGCAAACGACTCGAAACGTCGAGCTGCGGCATGTGGAAACGTCTCGAGTCCTATAAGATCGTCGCTTGCTTCTCGACAAGCGCGAAAATCCGTGTCCCGCCGTCTTTAAATTCCAAACGCCGTCCTCGACCTTGCGAGACGAAACAAGCGCCACGAAGCGTGCGCCGTTTCTCCTCGAATTGTCAGGCTTCGAGATCGTGGATTCTAATACCAACGACATCGAGCTACGTCGCTGTCACGATTCCGAAACGATTCTTTCCCGTGGGATCGTCTCGGTCCTACGGTTAATTCCGCGGTCCGGTATAGGTTCCTCGCGATCACGATCACGATCGGATCGAACGGATCGAACGGATAGGCCAGCGTGCGCATCTCGATGCACAACGCTTTCGTTGCAGCCCCATTCTGTCGAGGCAAATTATTTTCGAAAGTTTTGCCTTTGAAAACGGAGCAGGAAGGATGGAACGCGGGGACCGATAACGAAAGCCACGCGGTCCGCGCGGAACAAGACGAATTCCTCCCAGTCGATCCGATCCGTAACGTCGCGTCGTGTCGCGTCGGAAACGATATCATATCGAACGTTCGGTGCGTCGAAACGCACACGCGTCGTCGATCGCAATCGAGGACCCAATGCGTCCTCGTGCGATCAAACGGACAAGTTAACGACGCTTCGCGCCCACGACCTTTGCCGTACCTTTACACACATACAGACACACAATTTCGCCGTTCTGGCTTCGCGCGAACGATCACTACCATTGTGTTCGATGCTAAATACTCGTTACATAGATACTAAATATAAATATATATATATATATATATATATATGTATATATGTATATCTGTATATCTATGCGATTCGTTCGCGTGTTTAATAGGATAAATTTGATAAGGATGTTACGCGTTCAAAGATAATCAAATTTAAAAAAGAAAACCTCCAGTCGCTGGCAATGGTGTAAGTAAGATAACCGAAAGGAACATTCGAGTACCGCGACTTCCGAGTTACCGCTTGAACGGGCGTTGACGGACGTAACGTATCGTCGCGTCGCGTCGCGTCCGCGTCGTGTTGCCGCGTAGCATCGTGGTGAAGCGCAACTATACGACAAAAAAATAAACTGCCCACACATTTTCGATCGTTTATCATCTATCGATAGGTATATACGATAGATGTACGATAGAACGCGCGATATACGATATCATCGATAGGATTTCTCTGTATTCTGTGTTGGATATAATTCCATTCGTATACGCGAACCCCACTTAAACTCGTTCCAACGGTAATCTCGAACGTTGCACCTCGAAGATCTCTCGAAAGTACACGTAAATGTTTTTCTCGATGCTCAATTAATTACACGCAAGTACAAAGATCCGCGAGAGCAAAGTCTATTTTCTCCTAATCGCGCGAATCCAATATACTCCGTCGACCCCAACGACTCTGTCCATATACTCGATCGGAATCGCGTCGCAACAGAGGACGCGTGAACTACGAGAGCTACCTCAAACCTTTTAATCTTCGACTTGATCGAAAACCGCGAGGCGATCCCCGAAAATCGTGAATCTCTTTGAATCCGAATCTTGGTTTCGCGGTTCGATCGTATCCCCCTATCATCCCCTCGTACGACGCGAGACATCGCGATGCAACGACTCGCAAACATGGCCAAGATAATGCCGTTGACGACCAGGAAAATTCAGAGAATAACGGACAGCCAATATGCGAGCGAGAATCTCGAGGAACGTATTCCGAGGGAAAAGTAACGAAGAAAGCCGCGAGCAGTCATGTCATGGGAATCCATCTCCTCGAGAGACTACCTTGGGCAAGTATATCATCCTTCGAGATGTCACCCGACACATTGGACAGTTGACTGTTACTTGCACGCGACCTAATCCCATAGCGTTTTTTCATTCTCTTTTCTCGTCGTCCCGTTCGCAAGAAACACGCAGAAATATTTCGAGATCGAGGTTCTCGGTGAATTGAAATTGCAACTGCGGGAAATGGTCGACGGGATCGAAGTCAGTCGCGAGTTTATCAGTACCGCCGCGGCAGTCGGCAACCTTCGTCGGTATATAGGTCAGGAAAAGAGGTCACAGGTGCCTCGCCCACCGTGACCCACCCCGACCCACCCCGCAGCTGGTAGTTTGGTGACGGGAACCGAAATTGCGCGAACGCGAGTACGCGCCGAGCCAAACGATGGTACGCGCGGTATACATTTTATATTGGTTGGGATCGTTTCAAATCGCTCCTGCACACTTATTCTACCCCTGTTCGATTCCTAATCCTTAATTCTCGAACTGGTCGTTTATTTTTATCGGTCCTGATGTCGCGCGATAAGAAGAAAGGGTAGAGGTAAAGGCCGAAGAGTAACGGGGATTAAAAGAAACGCATGGTCGCAATGCGACACGGCAATCCGAACGATGGACGAGAACGGAAACGGAACGTTGGGACGGCACGGCGCGACGCCAAACGGCGCCAAGCGGTCTTTGCCCCCCTACCCGTAGAATCATCTCGCGAGCAGAATCGCGAATCGGATCATATTTTCGAGTCTCATTCGGTTCTCCGTCGATCGAGCACGTTTCCTACGAATCACCGTTACGAATTCGTAGCGGTCCGGCCAGCAGTCATCAGTTGTCGGCGACCGCTCTACTGGGTAGTCCGGACGGATCGCGGCATCCACTCGACGTATGCGAGTTTACCGAGGAGGATTATCATCATCAAAATGCCAATGGAAACGGGCACTATCAAAACGGCCGATCCGGCGCTGGTCTGTGGGAATGTCTGATAGGCTGCAGACGGCGATTGGATCAGCACTTGGCTCGAAGACGGGTGAGTCGTGATCGGTCGTGATCGGCCTTCCAATAATAATCCTTTCTCCTGCTTTTCTCAACCTCCTAGCTAGACTAGCCGAGCCGACTGTACCGTAGGTAAGTAACCTCGACGAATGCTTTTTCTCGGTCATTGTCGAGACCAACAGCTACAGGGAAGATACGCACGCGATGTTCCCGGTCAGGCTACCTTTCCTTCTCTACCCCATCACCTTCCCTGACGTTTTTCAGCCTCACCCGTCACCCGATTAACTCGTGTATCCTAGCTTTCACGAGCAATAGAATAATCCCGCGTTCATCCAAGAGAGCACGCCATTGCGCGCGCGAAAATATTGTACAGAAGTAAATACCAAAGGAAAAATATCGATCGCAAATTCGCCGCTTCAGTCTCTCGCGTTACCTTCCTACCTTCGCTTAGCTACACACAATATACATCGTATACCTACATGCAGGATAGGTATCCTATATTACTCGTATACGTATGTATACACACAACTGTTTATCCTGCTCGATCGCCGTTGCCGCGCTATCGGTCGAGGTCGAGCGGTATTTATGTTACACGAGATCGTTGGATACCTTAAATCATCGGTGAAGAAAGTTCAAGGTCGAATCGATACAACCTTCTCCCCGTAGTAGTCCCTGTTTAAACACGCGCGCCACCTCGATAGAGTCGTATAACGGTCGTGTGTCGTTTCTCGTTAATGGTTTTCATTCAGGTAAGGTGTTGCTTGCGAATGACCGTTTTCAAATGAATTTGTCTCAGGTGGAACAAGGCTTGAAGCTGTATCGTGCGCACAAACAACAAGCTGCGGTACGAAAATGGCGGGGCGCTCTCAAGAATATCAGACAACGAGAAGACAAATTCGCTCTCCTCGGTTATTTGTACCAAGCTTACATGGATTGGGGAAAGTACAGGTATTTGTATGTCTCGCTCGCACGATCGACTCGAACCACAGTCTCTTGTTTCTTTCACTTTTTCTTTTTCATTTTCATTTTCATTTTCATTTTCATTTCACGCACAAGACACGTGCCACTTGTATTTAGTAATTTTTTCTCAATTACCTTTGAAAATCTGCTTTGATTAACCAATTGAAAAATCATAAAAAGTACGCGCGAGTTCGTTCAGGGAAAACTGAACAACAACTAGCGCGACCGAGGTAATAGCCACGCGGAGAGAAATTCGAAAGAGTAGTGGTCGGTTTGTTCCGCCGAAAGGCACAAGCGCAATGGTCGTCGACACCGGACTGCTCAACCCACTTGGCTGTTACGGAGAGCACTACGGGCCGGGCCTCCTAGTTTAAAGTACGAACCAGGAAGAGAAAAGAGCTTAATAGAGAGATCGTAGTCAAGAGATAGTGATTTACTTGCATGCGAGACACGAGACACGAGACGAGAAAGACACGTTAACCCGAGTAGTTCCTATCCCCCGATCCGTTTGCAGAAATTCCGGAAAAACTTTTTCAGAACGAATGTATATGTATATGTGTATATGTGATCTCGAAGATTGTGCGTCGTTTCAGGGACAGCATCGATTTTGGTCATAAGCAATTATGCATCTCGGAGGAGCTGGATTCACCGAATATGCGGGCCGAGGCGTATTTAAATTTGGCGAGGGCACACGAAAGATTAGGTGCACTGGACAGAGCGTTGGATTATGCGAGGCACAGGTATTTCCCTTTCTTGATCTTCTTTCGATTCGAAGATTTCTCGATGGTGAACGATTTATTAACGATTTCGTAGTTTGTACAACGAATGCGACCAATGCGCGACCGCTGGATTAGTTCATTTGACTGTGGGTAGGGTGCATTTGGAACTGGCGGGGTTTTGTAAGGCTCTGGAAGCCTTTCAGAGAGCCCACAAAATAGCTCATTCCATTCAAGATCCCTCGTTGGAGTTGCAAGTAAGCCGAAAACTTGACCGACGACCGAGTTATTTTCATTGTTTCACAAATCTCGATTCGGTTCCCAGGTATACGTAGGCTTGTCGGAGCTTTTCTGTAGGTTGCACGATGCTGATAAAAGCGCGAGGTACGCGGCACGAGCGTACGATCTTTCGAGAAGTTTGCAGCTGGGAGACTTAAACTCGCGACATCACAGAGCGGCCCTACTTCAGATGGCGGCGGCGCTTCGAAAGAAGGGAGAACTCGGTGACGCCCACGATTATTGCTCGGTAAGTAGTTTGTGTCTATGGTCGCGAACGAATCTATTCCTCCGTGCTTCCGCATTTGCGTCTGATTGCTGATTCGATGCAGGAAGCAACGCGGCTGTCGCTCGTATCCGGCGATCAAGCCAGTTACGCGAGAAGTATACGTATAATGGGAGATATTTATAGGAAAAAGGCCGATATAAACGTAAGTAGGGACAGAGAAGCACGATATGCGAAATGCGAAACGGTTTTATGGGAGTGTACTCGCCTGGCCAATTTCCGCACGTGTACCGTAGAAAGCGTTTCGACAGTACGAGAGCGCGATGGGTTCCGCGGCTGCAACCGGCGACCGTCTATGCCAAATGGAAGCGATGGACGGTGCGGCGAGGTGTCTCGAAGCTCTTCGACTTCAACACAAAATATGCAATTGTCGTCCTCTCGAGTTCAATACACGACTGCTCGAAGTCGCTGGATCGGTCGGTGCTAAGGTAATCTTTAATTCTATCTTTCGCTTTATCCTCGTTAACTTCTCATTCTACTCTCTCTCTCTTCGTTCTCTTCGTTCTCTTCGTTCTCTTCGTTTAATCTCCTCTTAGTTCCTGGTGCGAACCGTGAGGTCGAGGCTCTCGCGAATTTATGGCTCTCTCGGAGATGAGGAACAAAAGGCTCATCACGAGAGATTAGCTACGGCGATGGAGGAAGATTTGGAGTTGCGATGTGGCGGCTGTAACGAGCCTTTCGGTCTCGAACCCGATTCCTTGGAGGCGCTTCCCTGTTCTCATATACTGCACGCCAGGTAATACGCAAACTGATCGGCGCGCCATCGATCTTTCACCGCACCGCTGTTTCTGTTTTACAGGTGCGCCTACGAGATTCTCAAAAGGCGTGATAAAAAGAAGAAGCGTTTATGCCCCGATTGCCACAAGTCCGTCAGTTCACGATTGTACCTGCATTGCGAAGATCCTCACGGCATGAATACTTTGAATCACAGTTCCTTAAGTCTGGCATCGTTAAGAGCGAGCAGTTTAGCTACGTTGGAGGATTGTCATGCCACGAGTAGCGTCTAAAATTTCATCGACTCTCTGTGTACTCTACGTGTCACGTGTCCCTCGACGCTGACAATTCGTTCGTTCGTTCGTTTGTTCGTACAAAAACTGAAATCGAACGACAAAAGTCGCGCATGCCCTAGAGTCGACGCGGGACGAGATAAATACGAGAACGTGACAATTCCGATTACCTTACCGGCTCGACTGAACCAGATCAAATTCCCGTGATTCGCCAATTAAAAACCATTAGATTATTAAAACTTAAACACGATTTACCGATAACATTATCGACGAACTAGAAGGCAACAGTTGAATGAAAACTAGCACCATTCGAAAAAAGACTTAATGGCAATAAAAAAATGCACGTTCACAATATCTATCTTAATCGAGAATTATTCCTCTATCTCTACATCGGCCCAAATTCCACCCGTATCATTCGCGGTGTGTCTTTGACGACCACAAACGTGATTCAGAAACCGAAGAATACATAGTTGGCGCGGAACATTCGTATTTCTTAACAATTTTCACCTTAAAAAATTGCTCCCATCGCAACGTTTATATTTAATAAGATATTGCAATATTACTGAAATTCTGGCCCTCGACAACCCCGAAGCCTACAATAAACGGGCGCCTACCGTATGACGTAATACCTAACCTGTATGCAACAACATTATTTCAATTGCAACCTCGTTCTAATAAGTTGTTATTGAGATATCAGACTATTCATTATTATAAAACAGATCAGGAGCAATTTTTTGGTACCATAATATTTCTGTAAAAAGACCATTTACTATTTATTTTGCATACAACAAATTGTTGCTTCTTCATTTGCGAATATCTCATTAAATATAAACGGTACAATGGGAACAATTTTAGATTCCGAGGGAGCAAATTGGGAGCAATTATTTAAAATATAAGTTGTTAAGAAACACTAACATTCGGCGTCAACTATTTTTCGGTGCCAGAGACCCCGTGTGGCGAGAGAGTGGGGTCACAGAACCCCCCGATGGAGGCGCCCCGGAGACCCTGTACGGTCTGATCGTGGGGTCATGGAGCCCCCACATGTGGCGCTAGAGACCCCGTGTGGTGAAAGAGTGGGGTCACGGAGCCCCCACGGGTTGCGCCGGTGACCCCGTGTGGTGAGATCGTGGGGTCACGGAGCCCCCACATGTGGCGCCAGAGTCACCATGTGGTGAGAGCTTGGGGTCATAGAACCCCCGGCGGAGGCGCCGGAAACCTCGTGTTGTGAGATCGTGGGGTCACGGAGCCCCCACAGGTGGCGCCAGAGACACCGTGTGGTGAGAGCTTGGGGTCATAGAACCCCCGGTGGAGGCGCCAGAGATCCCGTGTATGCGAGACCTACCCTCGCAGGCAAAGTTATTAAGATATCTGGTATAATATCTAACTACTGATTATTATAAAACAGATCAGGTAAATAAATCTGATATTGATCTATAATAATCTGACTATTGATTGTTATAAAACAGATCAGGAGCACTTTTTTGGTACCATAATATTTGTGTATAAAGGTCATTTACTACCTATTTTGTTAAGAACAATTTGTTACTTTTTCTTTTACGAATATCTCATTAACTATTAACGGTGCTAGGGGAGCAATTTCAGATTCGTCTGGAGCAAATTGGGAGCAATTTTGTGAGATACAAATCGTTAAGATACGGTAAGATTCGGCGCCAACTATTTTCCGATGTTTTTCTCAGTTTTTTCTCGAGAACTCGAGCCACATCGAGACGCAAGCGACATCTAGAACATAGTTCTGAATTTACACTGTAACCGCCATGACAGCTGATGCTTTTCGTATCGCTTGACGTTTGGTCAGATCATGACATTTTGCACATTTAATTTCAACAAATGGCAGACTTCTTTTTCGGTTTCGATGCAATACTCGCTGTAAGTAAACTCGTTCTTACCGAACGTACCCTCAGTTTTCGGATCATTTGCGAAAAAATGGAAATCGGAGCTACGAAAGTACGAGATCGTATTCGCTTTCGACGGACAACCGCGTCGCGCTTTAACCGACCACGAAGAATTAAAACTTTTTCGTTGAAATGGTCGATAGCGTAGAAGCGTTTATATCGCTTATAATCGTAGCGCACATTCATCGAATTAGAAATACATTAACATTTGCCCACCCTTTCGGCTCATATTATTGCCAGAATATGCATACATGCTACTGCTTACACGAGCGGTCATGGAGGTACGTCGCATAACCTCACCGATCTCTTCTTTTCTCGAAAGGTCCTTAGCACTTCTCTACCTTTGTGCTAATTATTATCGTGGTCATTTTTTTCTTCTATCGTAGGTGGCCTCTTTTAGTTTTTCATCTAGTACGTTAACGCGGTAACACTCATAACGGCAACAATCTTTGAATACTCTTTTATCGGTCGAATATATTTTTTAATCTATCCAAATGTCTGTCATATCCTTTCAAAATGATAGAATGATCATGACAGTATGGTAACCAAATTGCGGCCCAGTATAAATATTCGTTTCTTATTTCCTTTGAATTTCGTTCTTTCTACAGAATAGCAGTTTAGAAGATGGGGTGGATTGTCCATTGGAGGAGGACGATTTTGGAGAAGAGGAAGAGTACGACGCGTTGAACGATGAAACTTTTGGTTCCGAAGCCACTATCGGCGATTGGGAGAAAGATCATGAACAGCTCGCTAGGATCACGGAGTCGACTCGTCCGCATAATCGGAAAAGTTTCGGCAAAAAGGTAAATAAACTATCAGTTACGGCTACTTGTTGATAAACAAGGATATGCGATGACAGAATTGAATTTTGACGGTATTTCTTCTTAGAATGGAGTCAACGCGGATATCGAAGATAATCTATCGCATCTAGTCTTAGATGACAAAGAAGGAATCGTTCCCCGACCCGGAGTATGGGATAGCCCTTCTAATCTGCCCTTGCCTAAATTTAGGCCGCCTTTGACAATACCGTCGACCTTAACGAACGTACGAACCGTCGAAGAATTGGAAAAAGGTCTGATCGCGAATAGACCGCCACCAGGATTGGCGAAGCCTGTTCAATTGCTGCAACATCAGCAGCAGCAGCAGCAGCAGCTGCAGCAACATAAATCCGATGGGTCGCTTCTTTTCGAGTCATTGCCGGCTCCGCCGCGATTTCCACCAGGTTTGGGCCTACCGCCTGTGCATCCTGTCGTTTTACCACCAAACGTGAGATTTCCGCATCCGCAGTTCGTACAACACCCTAGACTGTTACCCAGTACGTGTGTTTCACGGTGAATTAAGTTTATAAGGGAGGAACGAAAATTTCACAAACTTGCCAATAGTTTTTCACCCAGGCTGAAAGCAATTATTGTTGCAGATCAAACTGGAAATGTACTGAGGTATCCCATTGCCGCGCATTTAATGGTGCCGCATGCTACGCAAAGACAGCCAATTCACGGTTCGTTTTCTAATAATTTCCCGGTAAGTTTCCAGCGAAAATATTAACTTGAACTTTTTAAAAATCGGTGAACCAAATGAGATGCAAGAGTTTTAAATAAAATTGAAATTCTATTCACAGCAACCTACGCACTCGAATTTAGGGCCTCCTCCGTTTTTGCGAACGGATCAAGGCATGATGCCTCCTTTTTCTGGTAATCAGACTGGTCATCATCAGCAACATTCTTTCCCGTATTCTGGAAACCAACGAAATCAGAGCAGGTCTTTCCATCATCCGGAGCAACAAGGAAATCATCAACCATTTTTTAAAAATAATCAACATCATCGTAATCACGAGCGAAATTATCAGCAACAACGGCATTATTACTACCATCATCATAATCTGGGTGTAAATGGATTGACCAATACAGGAGAAAGTGACGAATATGCTGGTCTCATGAGTAGCCGAGAGAAACAATGGTTAATTAACATTCAGTTGTTGCAACTGAACACAAACGAGCCGTACGTCGACGACTACTACTACACCGTTTTCTGCGATAAAAGGAACAAACAGAGCACAAATGAAGACCAAAAAGAGAAAAAGCAACACAATAACAATAACGGTTACCATAGAGACTCAAGGTAGTTTTTTCATTCTTGTCCTCAAAACGTTGAGTTCTTCTTATATTTATACACGTCGTTAATACGCGTCGTTAATTTAGGGATCGAGAACAGACGACGCATCATGTCCTCACTAGACCAATATATATACCGACGCAGTTTGAAAATTCGTTGGGAAAGCTGCAATTCGCGAGTGTAATAGCACCGCGTAAAGTTATCGACATGGATGTGGTACCAAATAGCGATCCTCAATCGGTTACACAAATACAGCAGAAAGATACAAAAAGAACAAGGCAACTGCTGCTTGAAATCGAAAGGGTACTAACATTGTTCTTTATTCGTCTTATTCGTAGAATATTCGAGTCGAATATTTATGTGTTGTTTTACGTGAAATTATATTTTTTTTCAGTTGTACGTTATCCAACTGAAGCTCGAAGATTTGCACAATCCATTGGCACTGTTTAGTGAACAACAACAAAGTCAAGAAGAAGAAATTGAAGCGAATACAGTTAAAAAGACTAAACCAGAATTAATAAATACTATGCTATTGTCTTTGCTTCAGTTAATTCAAGATGACAAATTGACGAGCATGCTTAGTATTCGAAAAGGAAAAGTAAGTAATTCCAAAGTGTCCATGATTTTTCGATTAATTCGTTACTAAACATTTGTTATTACTTTGTGTCGTAGACACTATTATTAAGGTTCTTGCCATACTTGAACGTAACGGAACACCGTGCGCAGCTAGAGGACTTATGGAATGCGATATTCCGAGGACTAGCTATAATAGGTCGTAGAGATTCTCATGTGCTGATGACCCTTTATTCGGAGTTTCAACGTTGGTTCGTTGCTATACAAGACTTTGGTGCGATACTTCGACTAGCTCGGTCATTGTCCGACTCTGTTAGTCAGCCGAACAAGAACAACAGTTTAGCCTTTGCTCTTACGAACAAGGTACGTTCAGAATTTTCTCATTTATCTCCCCTGTCTTGAGTTTCTCTTGTAACAGCAGTTGCACGTTTGAAATTTTTTTTTTTTTTTTTGTTTAGTTTGGTGTATCTGTAGTAGCTATGATGTTGGAACGAGCAGAAAATCTGTATCCTACGGATGACACATTGTCTTCGGAATGGTCATCCTTTGTGGCAAACATCGTTGAAATAACTGGAGAAACACCACCCTGCGTCGCACCTTGTCAACCTGTAGCTGCAAATACGCTCATTCAGCATTTAAATCGACTGTCCCACTTAAAAAGCGAAAGGTACACAAACCTGGAACTTCTGCTAACCGATGCCAACCCTTCCCGATAGTCGAGAGTTATCGACAGATTTTTCGCTGTAATGTTTTACGAATTTTCATTTTTATTACTATGAAAACGAAATTATGCCGACACGGAGAACTGCAGACATTTTAATGCCGCTATATTATACATAGAGGATCTTTTTAATATGATCGAAAACCATGTTCTCACAGTAGATCCATACTTTTGTCTTTGTTTTAAATGTAACGATAGTTTATCGATTGCTCTTCGTTTATATTTAATGCGATCGATTTATCCCAGCGTCTACCCTAACATTTCATACACTCTTCTCCACCTGCGAGTCTACTGTGTAAAATTGGTCATCGATTACTTCTATTTCGTGAACTACACATCCTATGTTTCTTTGCTCTTCGATCGTACCAGTTTCCTTTTTTCTTGCTTTTTTTCTTTTAATATATTCCCAGTTAGATTCGCTGGATGCTGAAACGTATATCTAACAATATCGTTAAAAGACAAACAATTTTTAGCCGTGTCTGATCTGATCCGATTCCCAATAATCGTAGCTATATGTCGTTCTGTGATTTTTAAAGTTTGCAAGAACTTGCTTGAATAAACTTGGAAAATCACCCATATCAGTTGGTAGTAAAAGGTGTACATATGTCAGTATTGGAATAGAAGCGACAACACGAATATTGCCCTTCTATTGCGTTTGTTTTCACACATTTATATGATCAACGTGAGTGACTTGGCTTATGGAGGAGAAACAGATTAGACCGCATAGGGTGTGTAGACTTTTAACTTTGTTCAAACCCTACAAAATAACAGCACGTTACTGTAAAACACTTGTTAAGAAGTCAGATTTTTTTCTAAGGAGATGAATCGTACAAGAGAATACGTTATTCTCGTGCAAGGGCAAATTGTATTTACGAAACGCATCGTTTGTTCGTTTCTCTATTATTTGTTTCGAGCCAAAGTCGGTTCGTATAGTGAATTCTCTTAACTTGTATAGGTTTCTACGTCAAGGGCAGAATTATTACATCATTTTTGTGTAATGATTAACGCATTAAGTAGTGAAAACTCGAACAGAAATCGATTGCAATTATTTCGTCTTACTCGTCCGTCATCTACTAGATAAATTGGCCACCGTTTTTCGTGCGTTTTTAGGACACTATCACTGCTTGGTAAACTGTCCACGCGTTTGCTGTGTGGTCATTATGACATAGGAGAAAATCACGGAGATCGTTGCAACCTGCAGCAAGGGCGTGAACAGTAATTTAAAACATACAACAACATGGCCTTTAGCATACAGTGTAAGTGGTTACTTTTTATCGTGGTACACATTAATAATGTCTTATGTACATTTAGCTTGTACATAGATAAAGCGACTCCGACGAACGAAGAACTTCGTATATTTTGTAATTGGATGCAAAAGAAAATTTATTTTTTGCTTCCACGACATAGTACTACGTCATTTTTGCAAAAAAAAAAATGTGGGGAGGGGGGAGGAAAGAGTATAAAAATGACAAAAAATATCGATCGCGTTATTTTTTAATCTTTGTAGTGATTATAAAATCGATGAATTGACTCGGCATTTTCAAGTCGCATAGTGTATATTAAGTAAATATGGATAAATCCTAGCGGTGCGTTATATCGCGGTCCAATGCCTGTACACTTCTCTTATATACGTAAGGCATTAATTTTAAGTTTTACGAGCTCTTTGTTCTTTTAAAATGTATGTTCCACTGTATCTATAACCGAATTGTTTTTTAAGTTTCACAAAGATTCCAGCAAATTTTTCGTTTACGAATTTACTGTCCGAATTCGGTGTGATACACGAGCGGCAAGGTCAACCCTCACGATTTCTATTCCCTCTACGAACCGAAGTCGGTTCAAACCTGGGGAAAAGCTAATTGTATTTACTATTTTGTAAAATATCGATCGATCAGTGACCGAGCTGAAGCCAGCACGTTTTGATTCCGTAGTATCGGATGAAAGATATTTGTTGAGCCTGTACAAATTTTTTAATCTTTGAAAGTAAACTGTATCATAAAATTTGATTCGCGTTATTATCTTGGGCGTTTCATTCATCGTATTGCTTTTTCGGAGTGCTATATTCTCTGTATATTTTCAATCTTTAAATGATGATTCATGGTAAATACAATATCGCGTAACGTACCTATACAACTTACACACCAAACGGAGAAGCTGATAAATACCCGACACGTTCGTTCGTTTTCTTCCGGCAGTCATCAAAGTTAACATACGTATTTTCGGAACATAATACAGAGGCAAATAATGCGTTTGGATGTACAATTATTTGTTTTTGTGTTTGCACTTGTTCGACTGAACGTGAAGAGGTTCAGTTTGAAAATTTCAGGAGATTTCATGGATAGTATACGAATACGAAATGAGGAGAAGCTAATGTCTCTATACATATACATAGGTAGTGGATTTTACGAACTAGCTGAAACGAAGCGAGTTAGCGAAACACATTTTATCTCTTATTAAAAATATATTTTTATAGCAGTACCGTGTTTATTGCATTTACACAAATCAACTGTAGATGTATACCGAAATACAGAATTTTTGTTTACCGGTGTAACCCAAAGATATGACCACCTTCGTTCCACTTTACAATACATAGACAGCATCATAAAACCAAAGTTCGTTAGAGGGTCATGTGTGTATACACACATACTATAAACTTCAAATCCAGTCGAAAAAATGGTGTTCTATGAAATTGGTATGCAGGAAATTGATTATAATCAGTATACAACATAGATATAAAGCTAAGGTAAAACCGCTGTCTCGAATAAATATTTTAAATCCCTTTTGAACAGTGCATCAGTGTAAATGTGTACGGCATACAATTCTATTCCAATATTGAAAATAGCTTCTTAACTATATATGTTAATAATTTATACTTCTGTCTTTCAGAAACATTCGATAAATTTATGTTGACGTGGTTAAACCAAAAGAAACATGTGGAATAGGAACTGATTCGCGTAAAATACTTATGTATACATATGTATAGGCATAGGAAGGCGAATTGTGACAGGAGAATACTGAAGAATAGCTACTGTATCCTGAGTGAGTCCAAGCCAGTCCAAGCCAAGTGAGTCCTCCGACTTTATTGTGATATAAATGTACCTGTGTGTGTGTGTGTGGTGCGTGCGTTTAAGTGAAATTTATCATATGTACATATGTATGTAGAGTGACAAGCGTTAGAAGAACTCCTGTAATACCGACGTACAAATTCGCGTCGTATGTGGAAATACATAATGATATTCGCGGCTTGCTTCTGGTTGGCGCTGTTGTTTCTCTCGCAGCTCGCAGCATTTCGCGTGTTTTTGCTCCTAACAGTGGTATTTCTTTGACCAACATTCAACATTGACCGAAGCTACATTTTCCCACATTTTCCTAATCGTGCAGATATACATATATGTATATTATTTGATATCTGTGTTTTCATAGTGAATTATTCGTTTGCGTCGAAACAGAAGAAATTCCATCGAATAACTTGGAGTTTCCTGTTTTTAAGAGGTTGCCTTGTATTGGCAGGTGTTTCATTGTCATAACGGACGAAACGAATATTTTTTTTTAGAAAGGTCATTTTACTTAGTCGAGAAATTGCACGTATTCTTTGTTTGTTCTACGGACAACTGTTTGCCAACGTATGTTGTAGGCGTATAGTATAACGGATCAGGCATAATTTCAAAACTAGTGCAAATAACGTCGAATTTCTGATCAGAATCGAAACTGTCTTTTGTCGAAGATACCTTACCAATTGATTCATGTAAGTATTATTAACGGATCTTATAGTGAAAGTTATTTTTTTGTTTGCATTTTATTTCACTCATCATACATACTTGTACGACATCGAAGTTTTCTCGAACTTTTGAGGCTATGCAAATAATCTCAACCTTCTTCTTACAGAGGACAGAAACATAGAAGACTTTTCTGGCAGTGATTTTTTAAGCTTTCTTCGGTGTATAAGACACACACAGTATCGTCTCGGAATTAATGTTTCTAGCTCATTCGTTATAGCCAGAATATGCGTAAGGTGATAGAGCACGACGACAAAAGTTATTCTTTATCTCTGTTGTAAATTCAATATATTCTAGAAGGCACTGTACTCGACTTTGAGCTTGGTATGTAGAAGTAAGATATATTGGTATAAGCATATTATCTAAGCCCGAAAGAATCTCAAAGAATTTTTCTTCTCTGATATAGAAGAAATGTGTGGTCGAAGGTAATGATTGGGGAAGACTAAACTATGGCTAATAGGAAAGACAAATCATCGACTGGTTTTGTAAGTATTTAAAACATAGCATTAATATAATAATTCCAGACAGTATAATTTTTCAATGAATTCACAGTTGTATAAAACATTAGGTTGCTTAGGAAATTGTAGAATACCTGAAAGTTTAGTCTTTGTGAAGTGTGTTTCAAGTGGATGAATTTTCACAGATGCGTAAAATCTAGTTAAAGTATATTAAATACCAGCTGATACTCAAAAACATTATGTCTGTGTAATAGTTATAGATGTACAATGCGTTTTTTGCCTTACAGTTATCGGTTTTACTGGGAGTAACGCGAACACAAAAAAAGTTGGCGGATTTAATAGGTTTTAATTTTTCAAATCAACAATAGACGCTTCGATAGGTTGCAAACGCGAACATTATCTTCTTCGCCTGACCGTAAACGCGTGTCACTAGAAATAGCTCGTAAAATTGTTGGTTAATTGATGATTATCGATGATCGGTGATATTTTAAAAAAAATGGTAGTCGAAACACGTTACTCGATATGGAGCGGTCAGAAAAATGCTTAAGGCTAACCGTGCCGCATATGGAAAAAAGTAGGTATGCGAAACCACGTGGTACGAGCTAGAAATTTTTAGGACAAGGTAACCAGCTCCATTATGGTCGTGATGATTGAACACAGTGGATCTTGAAATACGTTACATTGTTTGAAAACGATTCGTTATGCTCGTGTAAATCTCAGCTACCCGCTGCCACGAAGTGGATCGTTTATCGATGAATTTTTTGAAAAGTTTCTAAAAGTTTAATGAACTGGAAACCCGTGGTTTCGGTTCTCGTATCTCATGCGTATACAACGTAGACACGCGGAAATAATGCAAGATCCAAGAAAAATTGGGGATACTTTCGCGTAATCATGTGGCTGGAGCCAAACTTACGGAGTAAACAGCAAAAGAAAGGAAGAGGAGAGGGTTTCGAATCCAAAGGATGCGAATACTGATTGGTCCGCGGCCCATTACATCACCGACCGTTCGCTCGAATGATCTCATCCGTTCTTACAGCTTTTTTCTCATTTTCATTTGTTCCTCTGCACTTGGCGAACGATACGGATTCGGACGATAGCGTTTCTCGATTTTGAGATTTTTTTTTTTTTAAATACAGCTACGGACACAGTTGATGTGTTTCGAGCGGTGCGGACGGTAAATACAATGTAAATACTGTATCATTTAGAAAAAGTAATTTCTAATTCCATACTCGTGCGATATTTTACGCACGGGATCCGCGTGGGTAAAGTTGTATTTCTGATATCGGGCTTTGTGCATAATATCATATGTATGTTTCCTAGTTTACGAATTTCGATCCTCTCGAAACAACGATTTTGCACGGACTGCCGAAACCTTGAGCTATTCACAGATATGACGTACACGAGACGATTGGACGTATTCTGACGTATAAAACATAAATTGTGACTCACGACACTTTGCGCCTTTTGAAAACTACTTTTCGTCGCTAACGACGCATTAGCAAACAATAGCTAGCGCAATAATCGTTAGTATTGACTGCCAAGGGAAGTTCGGTAAATCGAAAATTCCAATTTTTGAAGAGAACATGGAAAGAAGCGACACGCATGTTTTCCTGTTACTTTAATTAAATAACTACTTAACAAGAAAAAACATTTACACGACCTTTTATATACTATGTACAAGTTGTGCAATGAAGTAGTAAAAATTTGTTGTTTATATAAATAATTACATGTACTTATTTACATATACGTTTGATAGATAGGAAAGAAAAATAGGAAAACACGGATTAACCACGGTCCCGTTGTTTTCACCCGAAGAACTAAAAAGTAGCGAAAAAAATGGTTGCATACATCTGTTAAGGTCCCCTACAAACCTGCAAAGTTTAAACAAATAAATCAGAATTTTCGAGTGACCGATTACATGTATGTAATTAAACATAATACCAACGGTGATGGTATCATCTACGAAAGCTGATAGTATTTCATAAAATACATCTACTGTTAGAATGCTCGGTAAAATACGCGGATATGAACGGAGAGAGAGGGAGAAGGACAGTCGAGTGTGAGGGGGAGGCGGTCAAACGGGCGAGCAAAGTCGTCCGTGATAAGCGTGCAGCGTGAAGAGAACGTTCCGTTTCCCGTTCCATCGGTGGGCGAACATCGAAAGGTGCGAGCATATGTATACATAGCGTGCTACGAAGAGGCGAGCTACCGGTTGTGAGTAAAGTTAGCGAATACGCACGCGCGGTCTTCCACCGTTCCACCAAGCGCGATCTCCTTTTGGTCCGTTTGATGATTCGTCATGAAACATTCGACAATGCCGTTATCCTGATCCCAGTTGCTTCAAGTAATCTGTTCATGACGGTAGTCGAGAAAACAGACAAATTACCAGTGACATTCCGAAAAGTTGCCGGTGTGAATCTGTGACCGAGAGAAACCCGAGCAGAAGAACACCAACGCTCGCTTCATTGTCGATCCCCGTTAAGAGACTATCTCTGTTCGTTGACGAACAATATTTTTATCGCGAATGTTTGAGGGACATTACATTAGTATCACTCGTCTCGATCACGTCGGACGCGAGTCGTGCGGCTACAAAGTATCGTGTGTCAGTTTAACCAGAAACGAAGGTGAAGTGCGACAGCGATAGATGGAGGTGTCAAGAATCGACTGGAAAAGAGAGGAAGAATCCCGTTGCAGAATCTTGCTTAACGAAAACTTGAATGTATCGCGTGGTCGAAGTGCGTGAAATACATGGGTAGTTAGTTACTGGTTCGGCTCCGTTGGTTTCAACACGCCGATCTATGATCGCGGATTGGGTAAGAATTACTTTGTTAACGAGTCTATATTGAACGGAAGGTCCGATCCGGCCGACGAGACGTTTGTTCGCTCGGACTTGGGCATTGGTACCATCTTCTTCGAGCAGGTGTACGAGAAAGTCTACGGAAAGTTTGAGCGTAGTCGATTGCGAGAATCGGAAAGACAATAAGGGAGTTTTTATGGATTATGTTTCAGTTGGACACATGGTTCGGCCGACCAAAAAAGTCCGGGCGTGGAGGTGGGGTCAGAAGTGGTTCGGGAAACCACACGATACCTCGACCCCATTCCGGCGATGATTTCAACGAGATCGAACAACAGCGATCGATCATCGAGAGAATGGACGAAGAAACCGTGAACGACAAATTCGAGGAGATGCTCGTGAGTAAAGATTGTTCGATTTTACTGAAAGTGAAACCGACTGCGAGAACGACTGTTTCAAAAAGAATCGTTTAATCGAAGGGAATGGTGTTCTTGCTTTCAGGCAAACATGAATCTGACCGAGGAGAAAAAGGAACCGTTGCGACAACAATCGGAAACTAAGAAAAAAGAGATGTTGGTTTTACATTACAAGGGCAGCATTCAAGAAAATAGGTCTAAATTCGATAAACCTGCGGATTATATACAATATTTGGCGCAGCCCGATCTAAGCGTGAACAAAATCTACAATTGTATCGAATCGTTGAGAATAGCGCTGACCAACAATCCTCTTAGTTGGGTTCAAGAATTCGGAACGAAGGGATTGAAACAGGTTTTAGCGACGCTCAACGAGTGCTACCGGAAGTAAGTGTTCCCTATATGTACGGTGAATCGATGCATTACATCACGACATTGGTATTCGATATTACTGTACTTAAGAATTTCTAATCACCGTGTTGTTCTATTCCAGTGCCTTCATATATTATGATAGGTAATTCATGCAAACATACTATATGCTTCAGTTTTTTTTTTTTTAGCGATAGAAAGTTTTGTGGCATATCACATTTTTATGCTCTTAGTTATAATATTGATGTAATGTACGCAAGAGAAAGAGCGACCCCAAGCGTGCATGTGCGATACTCGCGATTGCGATAGGGAAAAAGGAAAGAAATAATTAGGTAGGGACGGGATTGAAGATCGGTAGACGAAATTTCACAGAGATCGTATTCGCATTAAGGATCGATCCTTCTCTTAGCAACGAATAGTTGAGCAGAACGCGTAGTTTCCGTTTGTCGATTCTTTGCATGAAGAAGAAGGGTCAATTTCACCGGAACATCTCCCGTCGTGATTCGTACGCCTTTAAAGTAACATTATATGTACCTCTTCCCAGTGACAATCGATACGAGCGCATACAATACGAATGCATCCGATGCTTAAAGGCCATCATGAACAACACTGTCGGCATAAAGGAGATGTTGGCGCATCACGAAGCGCTCACGATCGTAGCCAGATCGCTGGAACCGACCAAACCATCCGTCATGTCCGAGGCTGTGAAACTTCTCGGCGCGGTTTGTCTTATCTCGAGCGACAGTCATAAGAAAGTGTTGGACGCGATCACCATGAACGGAGAGTTCAAGGGGAGAGAGAGATTTCTGCCTATAATTCAGGGACTGATGAACAAGAGGAACGAAAACCTGAGGGTACGTTTCCCTGCCTGCGTTTTTCTGTTTTACCGGTACGATGATTTTCGTTCAACGGCTCGTCTGCGTTGTCGCAACAGGTGGAGTGCCTTCAGCTAATTAATTCTATCATCTCCTCGGCCGAGGAGTTGGACTTTAGACTGCATTTACGAAATGAAATCATGAGAGTCGGTTTGGCCGATAGTTTAGAAATGCTCGAGAAAGACGAATCCGAGGATTTAGCTAGGCACCTGAAGATCTTCAACGATCACAAGGAGGAAGACTACGAAGAGTTCGTGCAAAGGTTCGATCATGTCAGACTTGAACTGGATGATGTGAACGATTGTTTCGAAGTGATTAAAAATATGGTAATGGAGACATCGGCCGAACCATATTTTCTTTCGATACTTCAACACCTGCTTTTTGTCAGGGACGACGCTTTGGTCAGGTAGGAAGTTCATAGCGGTGCTCTGAGCGATCACGATAGAGACCGCAACCGTTAAAGAGTTTACATGTCTTTCTTTCTTTTTGTTTTTTATTTTTTTTTTTTCACGCGATCCCGTATTCTCTCCGACAGGCCCGCATACTACAAATTAATAGAGGAATGCGTGTCGCAAATAGTATTGCATCGTTCGGGCTGCGATCCGGACTTTAGCGCGACCAAACGATTTCAAATCGACGTACAGCCATTGATAGATACGTTAGTCGAAAAGTCACGGGCGGAAGAGGAAAGACGATTAGTCGAGGTGTCGCAAAAATTAGAGGAGGCTATAGCGAGTAAACAGGAGACCGAAGCAAAACTTCAGCACGCGGAGAATAAGATCAGAGAATTGGAACAGGGTGGGGGCAAACATGGAAGTAACAACGCGGTGAGTAGTCTGGGTTAGGTCACTTGGTGATTTTCTTTTGTTTATTGTCCCCGTTGCAAGCACTGTCACCACGTCACCGTTTCTTTTTCCATAGAAACTCGGGACTTGCCCAGCTCCGCCGGGTTTGCCAGGAAATACTGGACCCTTGCCACCTCCGCCACCTCCGCTTCCAAATGTTGCCGGAATGGCGATGCCACCACAGCCTCCGCCACTACCGCCTCCGATCGCTGGCCTCGGAGGGCCGCCACGGGCTCCACCGATGCCCGGATCCATGGGTCCGCCGCCACCGCCCATGCCTGGCGTGCAACTGGGACCGGCTCCGCCACCGATGCCGGGGATGGGTCCGATGCCCCCGCCGATGACACTTGGTTTTGGTGTAAACGTACCAATTTCCCAATCGTTACCATTGGGCCTGAAGCCCAAGAAGAAATGGGAGGTCGAAGCCCCGTTGAAGAGAGCGAACTGGAAGGCCGTAAGTAGTCGAAACGTGTCTGCCTCGATACAGATAATCGCGCATATTTATATACGTATACATACATACATACATACATACATACATACATACATACATACATATATCTGCACCGATGTCTTCTAGATTTTGCCGCACAAGCTTACTGAAAAATCCTTCTGGACGAAAGTCCAAGAGGATCGATTAGCGAGTCCCGAAATACTGGATGGTCTGGCTCAAAAGTTTGCATCTAAACCTAGCGGAAAAAAGATCGACGACGTAGTGGATAAGTAAGTACATCTACATAGAATGATTTTCAGTGTAGCTTCGCGTGGAATTTTCCGATTGATGCGATCACTTAACGTAACCACGCGCGGTGTTTACGCAGGTCAGCGTCCTCGAAGAAGGCAAAGGATTTGAAAGTTTTGGACAGCAAAGCCGCGCAAAATATTCTGATACTCCTCGGTGGCACATTGAAACACATGTCATACGAACAAGTGAAATCGTGTTTACTTAAATGCGAAGGCCCCGTGATATCGGAGAACATACTGCAGGGTTTGTTACAGTATTTACCACCACCCGATCAGCTTACCAAGTTGCAGCTGTACAAGGAGCAATACGATGACTTGACGGAAGCCGAACAATTTTGCGTTACCGTGAGTAATTTTACCAATTTACCAAGCGTACCAAGACGATCCACATTAATTAGAGATTCGCGAATCGACAGATATCGACGATCAAGAGGCTATTGCCACGGTTGAGATCGTTGAGTTTCATGTTACGATACGAAGAATTGGTGCAAGACGTAAAACCGGACATTGTGGCAGGTACAGCTGCCTGCGAGGAGGTGAAAGCCAGCAAAAAGTTCGCCAGAATCCTCGAATTGATCCTGTTGCTCGGGAATTACATGAATTCCGGATCGAAAAACGGTCAAGCTTTCGGATTCGAGATTAGTTTTCTGACAAAGGTTTGGAATATTTATAAGTGTTAGGTCGGAAAGACGCAGCCTGATCTCGAATATTGTCTTGTTTTGTCTTTCAGTTGACTAGCACGAAAGACATCGACAACAGGCAAACTCTCATGCACTATTTAGTTGATACGATAGAACGAAAGTTTCCCGAATGTCTAAACTTTCCGGAGGAATTGGCGCACGTGGACAGAGCGAGCCGAGTATCCCTGGAAAATGTTCAACGAACGTTGCGACAAATGGACTCCAACATCCGAAATCTCGAGCAAGATCTGTCGATCGCCAAAGTGCCTCAATCCGATGAGGACATGTTTGTCGATGTAATGGGTGTATCCTTTTTTACTTGGGGCTATTTGTATTTGTTCGTGATTACAATATCCTTCGAACGTTGTTTTCCTTGACCGCGCTACGCTACAGCCGTTTGCGAAGAAAGCCCGAGAATCTTACGAAGTTATGCAAAACATGTTCAAAAATATGGATGGCTTGTACACCGAAATTTCCGAATTCTTCTCCTTTGACAAGCAGAAGTATACTATAGAAGAGTTCTTTGGGGATATAAAGAAATTCAAAGATGATTTCATGGTAAGTACAAGGAGACGATCAGAATTGTCCGTAGAAAAAGGAGAAAGAAGAGACGAGAGATAAGGAAAGGAACATGGGTGTACGTTTGTTAATTTTCAGCAAGCGCAGCGAGAAATAATAAAATTGAGGGAAGGAGAAGAGAAGCAGAGGAGAGCGAGGGAGGCGCGAGAAAAAGCGGAAGTGGAGAAAGCGGCACGAGCGGCACGCAAGCGAGCTCTCGTCGACATGAACGCGCACGAAACGCAGGAAGGTGTTATGGACAGCTTGATGGAGGCTCTTCAAACAGGTTCCGCGTTCAGTCGACCGGATCAACGACGCAAACGTCAAGCACGCGCGGCTGGTGGTAAGTTCTATAGGACTACATACGCTTCGACGAAAGCTGCGAGGAAGGAGACCGCGCGTCAACGAAGGTTAACGTTGCTCGCTAAGTTGCCGGACTCGAAAGAAGCGACGGTACACGGTGTACCATTGTGGAATCGGACCGGTTCGATTGCGCGAACCGACACGACCTTTTCGCGCGTTTCGACATTCACGATCCTTGAATCGACCGCTGCCGCCTCTGACGCCCGAAGAAAATCAGGATCTCTGTAGATTGATGTTGCTCGATAATGCTACGAAAACACCTAAACGGGCGAAATTTCTGTCCAGAGTCAGTTCCTTTAAAAGAAAGAAACAACGTGAAATCGCAAGCAAGAGAATACGCTTCGATTCTCGTTTGGAGATCGAGGAGACTCCCAGAAGGGACGTTTCTGCGAAGACGCCTCGAAACCTGGACGAAATCGATGCCATTCAAAGCGTAGACTTGAACGAGCTCTCGTTTTCAATGGAACTCGATCGGCCGACAAGCACGGACGTCGGGTCGGACGGTTCTGTCCGATACCTCCTTTTACCTGCTGCTCGGTCGCAAGTTTACAAGAACGAGGGTGTCGCTGCGTCATACAAATCCGTCGTCGACGAGCTGAAAAGATACAGAGCATCCAGCGAACACGCGGCGTCGCGTCTCCGTCGGACTTGGTCGAATGCCGTTTCGCGGGCAACCAATCTCGATTCCCCGTCTCTCTCGTTGTACAAGACGGTTTTGATCGGCGAAGCCATAAAACTCACCCCGGTTAAGCGTAGACGCGTTATAGTGAGTAAGAAGAGGAAAAGGAACAGTATCGTGCGCCGTGCCGTACGAATTCGTAGACTGAGACATTCGAAATCCAGACGGAACGGAAAATCGCGAAAATTGCTCGATCACTTCGGCAGTCCGCCGAGTGAGAGTATCTCGTTGCCTGATCGTTATTCGAGCGTTGCCTCTCCGTTTTCGCGCACAACCGTAAACGCCCGAGACAGGGTATCCAGATCCATGGACAGTATCGCATTGAAAATCGGCAAAACGATCTCCACGCCGTTCAGATCGTTGATTCGAACGAGAAATTTCGACAATATTGCCCATTGGAAAGATGAAAATCAAAACGACGTATCCGTGCGATGCTCGAGCAACAGCAGATTTTTCAGTCCGACACGTTGTATCGACGGCATTCCTCGCCGATCGATTCTCGCGCATTCCCCAGAAATTCAAATTCTATCGCGTTCCAGTTCTTCGCGACTCACCGCGAGTCGGACGATCGAACGACGGAATATTGTTTACGAGACAGACAACCACGGAGTCGAATTGACATGCAACAGGCAGTCACCGGACAAACGGGAACGCGATGTCCAGCCAAACGTCAAAATAGCTCGAAATCGGCCGATGTTTCCAAACAGAAAAAAAACGGTGAAAAAGATTTGGAAATTTTTGTGACCCCGTCGGCTCGAGTTACATCGTTATGTTGTCGACATATCTTGTCTACTTTGCTCACAATCGTTGCTATCCCTAATCTCTAATTTATTTTATTTTTAGACTTCTCCATTATTTTTAATTCGACGACGAATCGGAACCCGCCTTATTTTTATCCTATTTTCTCTTTCGAACGATCATCTGACCCGATCCGATTCGATTCTGTCCTATCCTATCCTATCCTATCCTATCCTATCCTATCCTATCCAATCAATCAATCAATCAATCAAAGCGTTCCGACTAGCTCTCTAAACGTATCATTTTAGCGTTACATACTATTTAGGAATGAAAGCGTTGGCTGTGTTAATCCATTCTTATACATATCTTACTACTCGAATTACATATGTCAACGAATTTATCGGGTTTTTCTAACGAAGGTGAACCTCGTACGCGCATATATGTAAATTTGTATCGATCGTTTGTAATTGTATTCGTTGTAAACACCGTAATTTTCTAGATGAATAAAGGTATCTTTTTGCACTGTTGATCAATCCGTAAACTATTTTCGCTGCAATTTCAAATATACGTACGCGCGGTCCAAGAGTCTAACTAACGCGTGATTAACACGGAGGAATGTAAACAACGTAAACCTTTTTTCTTTACTTTTACAGCAGAGAGAAGGGCTCAACTTAATAGAAGTCGATCGCGAACAGGATTAGTCGGGACTGGTTTACTGGGAAGAGAACTTTCGACGTAAGTATTCTATCGGAAAACACCGATTACGGTGTACCGAATAGCTTTCGCATGCATGTGCGTCGCCTCGCTTCTCGTCTCACATAGCACGTTGTGTTTGGTGGAGAGAGGGGGCACTCAATCCCAAATCGATCGGTAGAAAGTTGTGGGGAAACGAGCAACGCGAAAATGGAATGGGGTTGTGGGCCCCGCGCAAAATAATACATGTGTAATGATCATTGTTGCAGAGAACTTTTAAGCTCGGCATAATCCATGGAAAACCCCTGTTTCCGTCCTAAACTCGAAACTGTGATGGATCAAATCGTCGTTTGTTGTTCGTTCAACGATACGTATGCAGAAACGGCACGTCGGTAAAGAGTCTATGTTTAAAGACTTGGGAAAACCGTCGTGTCGATTCGGACAATGTCTTCCTCCTGCTGGCCGAAACGATCGATATACATAGCAAGAGCATGTATGGTATGCTTGCAAATAATTTAACAACGACCAGTGCGAAATCTTTAAACATGAAGGATGATCAGTGCAACGCGTTCAATAAATTCTGTACATTCTGTATCAAACGAACGGTTGGTTCTGTATCTTTTTCTAGCTCTTGTAATCATGGTACCGCGTGAACACGATATGAATCTTTATCCGCGATCGTGAAATGACGTATGTATGTATATATATATACATATATATGTGCGTGTGCGTGTGTGTGTGTGCGAGAGAGAGAACGCATGTGTTTCTAAATGCTGCTTGACGAGAACATGTACTTGGAGTGCTTTGGCGGCGCGTATGCACGGATTAACACATTGACCGCTGCGTATTCGATACGTATGGCTTCTTTTCGGCGACGTCTACGAATCGATTTCGAGCACGGTAACGGCACACGTACTTACCTTCGGAAAGTTCCAGAATCGTGCCAAATCCGTATACACGCGATCACATGGCAGAAAGCATGAAACAGTGACGCGCATCGTCGTGCAAACATTATCCTATCTAACGACAGGAATTTCAACTAAAACGAATGCGTACAAAGAGATTGCGGTTAACTTTCGCCGAATTCAATTTTACTTTTTCATTTCTGAAAATCAACGACTGTTTATATTGTATGTAATGACGTCGAATTTTATGGAAAAAATTGTATCTATATTGTGAATATGTGAATTTAGATAGCAACAATACATTGCGACCTTTACAATTAATCGTATCGTGTTTCATTTCCCATTTCACAGTGCATCGGTATGAAGGAACATATTCCTGTTACTCCAATCATCACATCTCCTGGGTAATACCTCATTCGTTGTAGATGCGCATATATGTATGTTTAATCGTTTAATCGTGTTAAACAAACGGTTTATACGAATTTTCACGAAACAGATTTGAAAAGCATCGAAATTTTCAATAATACGAAATACTGGGCACAATCCAACTGATAGCATGAATAGATCTTATTCTTCCTAAAGAAATCTTTAGTTTTACAATCTATTTGGCACATTCACGTTATACGGCTAATATTTCGTGGTTAGTATCGAGATACATTGAATCTCCTTTTGTATACTATTCTTCTTATTATTGTTACTATTATAAAATCTTGAATATGATTTCGTCTACAATTCTTTTCGTGACATTGGTATTCTATCGATAGTTTGTATGTACAATAAATATTTCAGACTAAGCTGGTATAAAAGGGCACCAGAAAATAGATACTCGACACTGCTCGACACGATATGTCCGGATATGTTATGGGGCTTCGTGTGTTTACCCTCGAGTAACTATAGATGACTCGCGGTTCTTAATGGAGATTGTTCTTATTGAAGACGATAAGTAAAAGTAAACGTACATATTTCACGTCTCAACATTCCGAGTTGCCATCCGTTCAATATTTCACCGTATGCCTTAAAAGAGTGCTTCGTTCGATATGAAATTTCGTATGCAAACTCTAGTACCAAAAATAGCTGTGTTAGTGTAATATTCAGGAACGTTGGTATCATTGCGATAATGGATTTCTTAGACTAAGGACGTTTACATTTGGCACTCTGCAACAATATAAACAGACGCGTGGCACGTTAAACGTCAAAAGCAGTCAGAAGAAAGAACTACGAAGTGGAACAGTTAATATGTAAAGTGTAATAACATAGATACGCCTTCATTTTATAAACGCAAAAGAAACGATCTCCTGACTGTCGATTTCTGAACTTACCTACACAAGTTCAAAGCTATCGTGGTTGTATGGAGAAGTGTATCATAGATAGCTAAGATAGTTAACAGGAGAATGTGCCCGACGCATTTAACGATTTATCGATCACGATTGTAAGGATCGCGTTCGATATCTGAAATCGTCAACCGGGTTTCTAACGATCGACAACGCATTGGCGTAAGTTAATGCTTGATAAGAAAAATACAATTGCGTCGCGATTGTTCGACGATGTGAATACAAAAGAAAAAAACATGAGTCGCGATGTTTCCGTTTCCGTTTAGGTTTAAGAGACTTTAAGTGATAGGAGTTCCACAAATCGATAGAAGTAGTCCGATCGTTAGTTCGTTGACAATATTCACGGCAATGCGAAGCCCCGCAAAGATTACACCAATGCTGACGGATGGAGGGGCGGGGGGGCACGCAGGTACGCACGTATGTATGAATGCATGCACGTACGCATGGACGCAGGCGCTGTAGCGGGAACCCAGACTTAACCCAGGTACTGGAAACGGAAAGCTGGAGCAAAGACAAGCGCGCGAGTGAGCTAGTGAACGAGTAAGCGAATAAGCGAGTGAGCGAGTGAGCGAGCGTGTAGCAAAACACCTGCGAGAGAACGGTCGATCGAGTCGATTCGTGCGCAGGCGGGGCCGTGTATTCGTGCGAGCAGCCTGCTGCTGGTACTCCTTTCGGTGGGACAGCCGCGTGGTGTATTTGGTGGATTCAACGAACGAGTGCGCGACCATCGGATCGGACCGGAAAGATTGCACGCGCAAACAACGCGTATTCGGTATTCAGTGTCTCTTCGGTGTTTCCTCTAGTCGTCGCACCCCTTTTTTTCATTCAGTACCCGGATCGAGTTATTCGCCGCGCTCGGTTTCGTCCGGTGAACGCCGTCGAACGAACGACAGTCGAGAGACGGCGCGTCATCGGAATCGTTCGAGAGTTTTGGAGCGCGAGCGCGAATGCCTGCGCTTGCAACGTCCACGAGATTTCAAACGACGAAACATCTCGAACCGATGGCGCGAGCCGTGACATTGTTCAGCCTAGTTCCCGGCAAGGAGAAGGTGTATACGGTTTTCGAGCGACATCGAATTTTCGGCCCAGTAACGTCGAGCCACGATAGGACGACGAATCGACACTGTTGTAACCTTGGTCTACGAATTTCGTCGAGACCGATCGGTTGTACTCTTGTTCGTTCGTAGACTTTGCGCGAACGATTCGTTGACAACGTCCACGAGAAATTTCGGACGCTACTTTCCGTATAATTTTCCATTCGTACAGGGAAACGCTTTTACCACGGGACCGATACAATGAGAAGAATACAATGAATGTCCCTATTGTGTCGGGAGACATCGTCGACGAGGATACCCTGAAACCGCGTTTTCTTCGGGTAAGTAAATTCAGCCAATCTTGAACAGCCGTCGAAAACTTTTCTCACCGTATCACGTTCGGTTGGAAGACCATGTATACATATACATAGTCGTTCAAATCGACTAATTGGTGCGAGTAGGGAGAAGATAGAGAGAGAGAGAGAGAGAGAGAGAGAGAGAGAGAGAGAGAGAGAGAGAGCGAGAGAGGTGGTGTGTTTTCGTTCCTTGACCAGTAGCAAGAATGGAATAAAACGGATTTTTCATATAAATCTCTTCTCTACTCGTTACATAGTACAGTCACACAGGGCTTGTAGCAGCTTATTCGTTGTTCACGTGGTTTATATTAAAACAACCAACTTTTACGACAGGACATCGTGTACTAAAGCTTAAGGACTACAGTGATAGAAAAAAAAAGTATGCGTACAGAGCTACCTCTTAGTTTGAATATACGATAGAAAAGATTTTAATATTAAAGTAAAAGTCGGTTAAATCAGTCTGTACCTTAAGAGAGTAAAAGACAATGCTGTGTAAAAGTGAGGTAAAACGTTCCTTCGTGTTCTTAAAAGAGAATTTTACGACACAGATTACCTTTGTACAACTTTGTGTTGTTTCTACGAAGTTGCAAGTTTATATATGTATATCCTAAACGTGAAACAGAAAATTCCTAACATGGTTTACAACCATTCCTATACAAGCTTGCCGATCATTGAAAAGTGAAACGCGGAAGATTGAATTCCTACTTTCTCCACTCGTCTATGTATAAACGAATATCGATCCATCGTGCATAAGATTTGGTTAGAATGTCGGGATATCGTGAAATCTTTTCGAGTAAATTAGACATAACTGTAAATCGTCATGTTGTACTCAATAATACCAAGCAGCCGAAAACACGTCACGTCGGACTTGGATAATAAAGTAAAAGAATTTTAATAGTAGCACGAAAAGGATATTTGCGTACATTGTACTACGAGTAAATATAAATAAATCGAAAGCAACGTCTGTGTCGGGAGTTATGCGATCGCAGGAGATAGTAATGAAATCGTTGTTGCGCAACTAATTATCTATAGTCGATCGATTCCGACAGTCAGTCCGATATTTTTCTTAGAGGACGATGAATTAAAAAAATTCGGAACGAATGACTGGGAAACACACACAGGAATCACGATCAACGCCTCCTCCGAAGGAAGTCATGAAAGCTTTACTCGTCCGTCGAAGAAAGGATAACGAAATACGTAGAAGTCAGGCGCGATAC